AGCTGGTAGAGGGCGCTCTCTACTGTACCTGTAGTGTATTAAAATGACCGAAAAAATTTTCTTAGTGCAATTTTTTTATTTTTGAATAAAAAAACTGATTCTTCGCACTTTTCTGCATAAAAAAGCTCTCCTGTGACTTTTCGTTATAGTTAGCCGTTTTTGAGATATTATCGATTTTTAAGGTTCGATGCATTTTTAATTATTCATGATAAAATAACGTTAAAAAGTCAGTATCTCGATAATTTTTAGAAGTAGGCTGTGCCTGCAAATATTTTTGAAATTGAAAGCAGTATAAGGTTAAACGTCAATTAGTTGACAGTTAGTTTTATTGTCTGTTGAAACCTGAAACGTTTTTTTGCAATTGTGAATGCACGAAATTTAGTTCCTTTTGACCTTTATGCATTAATTTTAAAAGTTCTATCGAATCTTAAAGTTATGCAACAATAAACTGAAACACCCTATATACTACTATTTGTAGTTATATACAATACGGTGAAAAAAAAAGTTTCCGATACCCCACGTATGTGTCGCATGAAGTAGACTAACGCCATTCTTTTCACTCTGATATGAATCCGTTTTTCCACAATGTTTGATAACGGATTATAATAGCTCTTGATACGTACTTATATACTATATAATATTACGAAATCAAGTAACCTCATTAAATTAAGTACATTATATTATACTCCAAGAATAATTCTCGTAGATATTGTATAGATAACAAATGATCTTGAAAATGACCTTCAACGTCTCCTAGAGGTCAACTTGACAATGTTAAATGGAATGAAAATTTTACGTTCCGATAATGACCTTGCCCTCCAAGGTCAGTTAGAGATGAATCTATAATAGGAAATGGTACATTTATGACCCCGCAGATGAAAAAGGCGTTCTGAAATGACTTTGAGCTAAGAGCGATTGAAGGGTCAAATCACTTCAAGGTCAAAATCCATCCTGTGAATCATAAATCACGGTCTTATTTTTCGTTTTATTCATTGGTGTCGTTGAAAAGAAACGAATTACATTTAATATTTCGAAGTTGACCTTGAAACCTATCAAGGTCATCACAGAACATAAAATTCGAGGGCTTAAAAATTATGATTTCTTTTAAAATTCTCAAGTTGACCAGAACGTGAGCTTATATAAACCTAAAGTTTGACCCAAACCGCGAAAAGCTAATGCTAGAAAACTTGACCCAACCGAGAGTAAAACTATATCTGCATATGTAGCTATTTCTCAAGCACCCTGACAATGACGTTCTGAGATCGCAAATTGGAGAACCTATTTTTGAAGTTGGGCTGATGATTGTGTTCTCCGTCGATGACAGCTTCCTTACCACACGTGATCACTTTGACCTTGCAGCAGTTCTTCCTATAATAGTGACTGCAAAGCCAATTAGTCTTGCCTGGGGTGCGTCGATAGAACAGGTAGTCGAAACCGTTCAAAATTATTTTTGGGTTTTTCAGGCCAACGTCGAAGTAGATCACGCCTGAAACGACACTAGGCAACTCAAAAATATAAGAATTAAATGAAATAATAAGACCACAGGCAGGTATATCCTGACTGTAAACAGAAAACTTTGAAAAGAAAATTTATTAAATAATGTTCTTTTAATGATAAATATCTAAGAAATATGAGATGCAAATAAAGCAGTGTTTTATTTATCGAGTAAGAATGATGTTTCGGTTATCGTTCCGGATCGCAATAATATTTATTTTTTAAGTTGTTAGAGCCAAATGGAAAAAATAGAGGATATGCGTATCTCAATTCGTACAAAAATTTGTATGTATTATTTATTACTAACACAAAATATGTGATTTCATATCATGACCATGACGTTTTCAAATTATTTTACAAATAGTTTGAAATATCTTTTAGCCTATTTTCAAACTGATATGTATCCTATAAGCATAAATATAGATCGTACGTTAACGAGAACATTTTCACGGCGGTAAGACATAACTAAAAAACGTATGTCTTTGAGTTTAAATAAAGGTCCAGGCAAAGGGGGGACTTGCATACGAAGACCTTGAAAAGATCTATGAGTGCCCTTTTTATTTACCTTAGGGAGAAATGTGGTCAATAACGCGGATTTTTCAGGTTGTTAGTAAGAAAAAGACTATGGTCTTAACAACGATATATGTACAGATTTGTGATACACAGCCTCATGGTTGATGTACGATAGTGACCATTTGTGACAACATATTTTTATATTTATCCTTCCTAGGTCTGGGTTGTTGATAATTTATCCCTTGGTAGTAAAAGAAAACCATTTTCTTAATAACGATACATGAACAGATTTGTGATACGCTCATGGTTGACGTACGATAGTGACCATTTGTGACAACACATTCTTATATTTATCCTTCCTAGGTCTGGGTTGATGATTAAGTAGGTATTCCTTGGTAGTAAAAGAAAACCATTTTCTTAATAACGATACATGAACAGATTTGTGATACGCTCATGGTTGACGTACGATAGTGACCATTTGTGACAAGATATTCTCATATTTATCCTTCCTAGCTCTGGGTTGATGATTAAGTATCCCTTGGTAGTAAGAAAAAACTATTTTTTAACAACGATATATGTGCAGATTTGTAATGCCCAAGCTCATGCTTGACGTACGATAGCGACCATTTGTGACAAGATATTCTCATATTTATCCTTCCTAGCTCTGGGTTGATGATTAAGTATCCCTTGGTAGTAAGAAAAAACTATTTTTTTAACAACGATACATGTACAGATTTGTGATACACAACCTCATGATTGACGTACGATAGTGACCATTTGTGACCACGTATTCTTATATGTATCCTTGCTAGTTCTGAGTTGATGATTAAGTATCCCTTGGAAGTAAGAAAAAACTATATTTTAACAACGATATATGTAGAGATTTGTGATACACAAGCTCATGGTTGACGTATGATAGTGACCATTTGTGACAACATATTCTTATATTTATCCTTCCTAGCTCTAGGTTGATGATACTGTATCCCTTGGTAGTAAAAGAAAACCATTTTCTTAATGACGATACATGTAACAGATTTGTGATACACAACCTCATGATTGACGCACGATAGTGACCATTTGTGACACCATATTCTTATTTTTATCCTTCCTAGGTCTGGGTTGATGATTAAGTATCCCTTGGTAGTAAAAAAAAAATATTATCTTAATAACGATACATGTACAGATTTGTGATACGATAGTGACCATTTGTGACCACATATTCTCATATTTATCCTTCCTAGCTCTGGGTTGATGATACTTTATCCCTTGGTAGTAAGAGAAACAATTTTCTTAATAACGATACATGTAACAGATTTGTGATACACAAGCTCATGGTTGGTATATACGATAGTGGACCATTTGTGACAACATATTCTTATATTTATCCTCCTAGCTCAGGGTTGATGTATTAAGTATCCCTTGGTAGTAAGAAAAAACTATTTTTTAACAACGATATATGTACAGATTTGTGATACACAACCTCATGGTTGACGTACGATGGTGACCATTTGTGACAACATATTCTTATATTTATCCTTTCTCGGTCTGGGTTGATGATTATGTATCCCTTTGACGTAAGCAACCCTTCCACTGGTTTCTATCCTATTTTTACACCTAAATTCTTCTCGTTGATGTAATAGTGGCTGCACAGCCACACAGTTTTTCCCGGTAACTTCCTGTACAATCGTAGTCGTGGTCGTCTAGCATTATTTTCGGATTTTTGATGCCCATGTCAAATAGATCAGACCTACAAAACGACGGTTGACCAAAACACCAGTTTATTTGTGATTATCGCCCAAAACCATTGAGAGCCTAAAGAGGTACTAGAAAGTGCGCGAAATCAATTCAGCTCTCGAAAAAGATACTACTCAAAAAAATTTATAATCCAAATTTTTGGTGCTGCATTTTGGTGAAAAATGGAAGTATCATGATTTTGAAAAAAGCATTTGGATTAAAGATTTCTAGTTTTAAGGTTTCTATCCGAATAATTTAAGCAATTATTCTCATTCAATTCTAACAGTTGTCGCAAGGAAAAGTTTTTGAAAAGAGAACTGAAAACTAGAATCTTAACGCCTCAAATGCTTTTAATAAGTTTAAATACGACCATTTTTACCGAAATGAAACCTGCCAAAAATCACCGAAAATTTTGGAGTTTTTCTTGCTCCCTTATTTTTTTTGTCTACTGTATTTCTCTCTCTTTTCTATTAATCGCTTCCTAGAATGAAAATATTTCGGACGTTGGACGAGCTGCTGTTTTTAGCAACCGCCATCTTACGTTTTAAATTTTATTTTACCCGATAGTTATGGAAATAACATGTAAATAATGGATCAGTATTTTGTATTGTGATCTGTACATTTGATGTTGCACGTTTATTGATGTTTCTTCTCGTCTGAAAGGCGATTTCGACGTTGCAGGTATTTCTTTATTGATATTGTAAGGAGTAATTATTTTTCAAGGCGCACTTTAAGCATATTCAAAATCTTGTGACAGGTTGGCAGTCAGTTGATCATAGGTTGCTCTACATATAAAAAAGAAGGTTCCTTCATCAATTCGCACTTTACCACAAAATACTAAATAAATCGTATTTTTTTTCGATTAAATCTAGATATGTTTTATTTTATAACACTAGTGCGCTTTTTGTTTAAAAATAAAATACTGTAAGCTGAATACAGTTTCAAGTTGATATAATTATACAGTTTTTGAATAGTAACAATCAAACTAATTTAAAATCAGTTTAAAATTACAACCATCATTGATGACATAATATATGGTACAACTTAAATCTAAATTACACCACAAATACATACATATCAAAACAAAAAACGATAGCCGCTTTTAATATCTCGATGCGATCATTTGGCGCTGAGATATTTGACTATGTTATAAAAATGTTTTAATCATCATGGTACAAATAATGAATTGGAACTTTTAAAAACAAATATCTCGAAAACTATCAGCTTCAGACACTTCTAACAAGTCACCCTTTTTTGTCGTGCAGATACGAGAACATAAGATTTTTCGGTCAGTTGTGTATACAGGGTAGCACAAAAAAGTTATGATAAGGATGATAAGGAACATTCGTCGGAAAAGCAATGTGAATAGAAAATGTTCATCGTTATAATTCGTTCACTCATCCCTTCACAAAATTGTAATAATAATAATTGTAATGTTATACGGATGAATACTTTTATACTATAAACGATGCTTTCAGTGCCTAACAATGGTGACGTTTTGCGACAGCATATTCTTGTACTTCTTCCGTTTATGCTTCGGGTTGTGAGTGTGGGTGCCGAACACCTGCACGACCCTACCGCTTGTGATTAGCTTGACCTTGCATCTGACTTCGCGCTTGTTGAAGTAGTGGTTGCACATCCAGGTGGTTTGATTCACTTCTCTCCTGTAGATCAGGAACTCATGGTCGTCCAGGATGATTTTGGGGTTCTTCATGCCCACGTCGAGTAGATCAGACCTACAATTGAATCGAGTAAATACCCACAAAAAATAGAGAAAGCGGGTAACACTCCAAACCTGTCAATCGCTACGCGAACATTCTAAGCCTATCCGAAAACAAGATAGCGTAAAACCAAACAAACACGTTGACAAGAGATCAAATACAGGTGGATAACATTTAGCTTGGAAATTGACAAGCCAATGCATTAAGGGCTCCATGGTGACCTTGATCGTAGATTTGACAATGACCTTCAACGTTATTTGAAGGTCAAGAGAGGTTTCTTAAATAAAAACCCCTATTTCTGACACCGGAAATTTAAAGAACGAGAAATTTTACCTTCAGATAAATTCCTGTCCATGACCTTGGCTATGACCTTCAAGATCATTCCAGGACGTCCAAAAAGTATGGAGAGAACAAAATATCCTGAAAAATATGCTAGCTGGAGAAAAATGTTGCAACGTTGCAAAGTTTAAAAAAGTTATCTAAGCGTGACCTTGAACGTGACCTGGATCACGACCTTGAAGGTTTTTTGCTTATCGAGGATTTAGCGGAACGAGAAATTACTGTTCTGGAAGCAAGACTATGAGTATCCAGTTAAAAAAATAATCTATCCTTCGAATGACTTGAAGGTGACAGCCAAGGACATACGAGTGACCTTGACCGTAAACTGTTTCTATTTTTTATATACCGACATAAATTAAGGAGTTTACTTGAAAATGTATCTGACCTTCAAATGAGCTTGAAGGTCATAGTCAAGGTGCCTATCAAGTATATGATAATGACCTTGACCGTGAATGTTTCGCTTTTTTATATCCCCAACAAAAGGTGAGTTACTCGAAAATGTAACGGACCTTAAATGACCTTGAAGGTCATAGTCAAGGTTACGGTCAAGTAAATGATAATGACCTTGACCGTGACATGCTTCACTTTTTATATACCCGACACAAAGTAAGGAGTTTACTTGCGAATTTATCGGACCTTGAAGGTCATAGTTAAGGTTACGGTCAAGTACATCATAATGACCTTGACCGTGACATGCTTCGCTTTTTATATCTCCGGCAAAACGTAATGTCTACTTTGAAATTATCTGACCTTGAAGGTTATAGTCAAGGTTACGGTCAAGTACATGACAATGACCTTGACAGTGACATGCTTCGCTGATTTATCTCTGTCAAAAAGTAATGTTTACTTTAAAATTTATCTGACCTTGAAGGTCATAGTCAAGGTTACGGTCAAGTACATGATAATGACCTTGACCGTGACATGCTTCGCTTTTTAATATCCCTGACAAAAAGTAAGGATTTTACTTGACAATTTATCGGACCTTGAAGGTTCATAGTCAAGGTTTCGGTCCTGTACATGATAATGACCTTGACCGTGACATGCTTCGCTTTTTATATCCCAGACAAAAAGTAAGGGTTACTTGAAAATTTATCTGACCTTCAAATGAGCTTGAAGGTCATAGTCTAGGTGCTTATCAAGTATATGATAATGACCTTGACCGTGAAATGTTTCGCATTTTAAGTCCCCTACAAAAAGTAAGGAGTTTACTTGGGAATTTTTTAGGATCTTAAAATGAATTAGAAGGTCATAGTCAAGGTTACGGTCAAGTACATGATAATGACCTTAACCGTGACATGCTTCGCTTTTTTTATACCCCCAACAAAAAGTAAGGAGGTTACTTGAGAATTTATCGAACCTTGGAGGTCATAGTCAAGGTTGCAGTGAAGTATATGATAATGACCTAGACCGTGACTTGCTTCGCTTTTTTATATCTCCGACAAAAAGTAATGTTTACTTTAAAATATTCTGACCTTGAAGGTCATAGTCAAGGCTACGGTCAAATACATTATAATGATCTTGACCGTGACATGCTTCGCTTTTTTATATCCCCGACAAAAAGTAAGGAGTATACTTGAAAATTAATCTGACCTTCAAATGAGCTTGAAGGTCATGCATATGATAATGACCTTGACCGTGAAATGTTTCGCATTTTTATATCCCCGACAAAAATAAGGAGTTCACTTGAGAATTTTTAGGACCTTAAAAAGACCTTCAAGGTCATAGTCAAGGTTACGGTCAAGTACATGATAATGACCTTGACCGTGACATGCTTCGCTTTTTTATATCTCCGACAAAAGTAATGTTTACATTAAAACTTATCTGACCTTGAAGGTCAAGGTTCGGTCAAGTATATGATAATGACCTTGACCGTAACATGCTTCGCTTTTTATATCCCGACAAAAAGTAAGGTTTACTTGAAAATTTATCGGACTTTCGAATGACCTTGAAGGTCATAGCCAATGCCGTTCAAGTACATGCTAATGACCTTGGCCGTGAAATGTTTCATTTTTGATATCCTCGATAAAAGGTCAGGAGTTGACTTGGACAATTTATCCTACCTTCAAATGACCTTGGAGGTCATAGTCAATGTTACGGTCAAGTACGTGATAATGACCTTGACCGTAGAATGTCTCACTTTATATATCTCCGACAAAAAGAAAGGAGTATACTTAAAAATTTATATGACCTTGAAGGTCACAGTCAAGCTTATTGACAAGTGTATACTTGGAAAAACTTGTCAGCAATTTGCATTCAGAAAATTAAAATAGACGTTTTAAAATTCGGTTGATCTTCAAATGACCTTGATGATCATTCTCAAGGACATGCTTTTTACATTTCCGTTGTCACAAATAGGGATTTTCAATTAAGAAAGCTATCGGTTTATTGTCATTAATTACTGTCATTGCTATTTGTAGTTGCCACCGTGGTGACTATAACGTGATTAAAAAACTAATTCAACGTATATGGCCTCATTTAGCAATCAGGCAGAATAAGATTCAGGTGTTACATGAATGCATTTGATCCATCAAAAAAATCTGCAATCGACAGATATCGGTAAACACCCAATCATAGAAGACAGAATACGACACTGTCCAATAGATTTTCAGCTTACTACAGGCTGTGTTTCCATTTTATCTTCTTTGTTGTGCGGGGTTCAAACCGCCTAGATTTTCTTAAAAATCGTTCTGCATTCTTTTTATATATTACGGACCATTATATGTGTGATTATTTACAACAGTCGGAATTCAATAAGATCGTATCATCCTATCAATTTATTGGAGTGTAAAAGTCACTCTAGTAATTAAATTATCATTGTGCTAAGGATTGTTTAATGATTTACTATATGAATGTACTCTAAATACACCATTATTCATGATAAATACATAAATGTAATTTCAAGCATTATGGAATGGGCACAGAATTCTAATTGTGAAACACTAGATAAATTTTATTCTATACATGCATAAGTATATGTTTTTAAATGTAGGCAAAACAGTAGTATGTACGAGCAGACCTAAAAATTGTAAACAATCTTTGAAACGAGATTAAGTCTTCTCGAATTGATAGCTTTAAGAAATGTCGTATTTTTAACCACACAAAGTTATAAACTTATACAGGGTGACTTTGAAGTTGAGTCATTAATTTCAGATAATGATTGTAGAAGGAAGATAAACCAAAATATGCGTGTAAAAATAAAAAATAAAAATTTTTTTTACCTTGTTTTATAAAGTATCCTCCCGACAAGTATTTCAGTGCGGACCTGTATTTGATCGTGAGGTCTTGGAGCACCGGCATGCAGTCCCCTGTGAGGTCTTAAGTCACCTGATTCACGAGCCCGTTGTACTACATTAACAAAGGCACGAGGGTTTGGTTGCACTCGATTGGGAAACCGATCCGCATAAACATGTGCCATTTTTGATTTCGTTTGAGCCACGCAACAGACACCACTATTCACTCACGCGTTACCGACTGACACTGACTGTATACAACTGAATAAAATAATTGTAAAAACATCGTTCCAAATTCTTTCGCTTTTTTGTTTCCGATGCGATGAACCGATAAGGCGGATCATATCCGTTGTTGCCAAACACGAGCACATAATATTATTATTGAGACAGGGCGGTACTCAAACTTCCAAAGGGCTGTAACTTTGTTACTTTAATTTTACCAGAAAAATGGTAAAGGAAAAAAACATTTCTTTTGATCAGATCTACTTACTGTCAAAATAATGACTCAACTTCGAAGTCACCCTGTATAAGTTCGTTTTTTTCCGTGTATTTCCATAACTCTAGTCGTGAGATCAAGCTGGATTGGAAATTATGCTTAATTAATTTATTCTACACAACGAATTCTGTCCAAATCGAAGGAGCGAGCCTCCGATTTGTTTGTCTCCCAAATCTCAGTCTGTATTCGGGATGAAAGTGATACTGTAGGTGGTGATTGAATTCGTACTTTTAGCGCTACTTTTTAAAAACTGCAAAGAGCATAACAAGTCTTTCAAATTTCCTAAATGTACAAAGCATCATTCGCGTTCAGCCACCTATAAAGAAAATTGATTTTTATCATAGTTTTGCAACGTTTCTGATTTAGCAACTCAAGCTATCGTGTCTAACGATAGTAACTCTTTGCGAATGAAGTTGGGAGGTATCCAGTCTCTTGGGCAGATGAGTGTGTCGTCCGTATATCTGCACCTCCCTTCCGGAGGTGATCACCTAACTTTGCACCGATCGTTATCGTGCTTCTTGTTGAAGTAGTTGTTGCAGAGCCATTGTGTCTGGTTCGGTCCCTTTCTGTAAATCAGGAACTCGTGTTCGTCCAAGATGATTTTCGGGTTCTTCATGCCTGAATTGAAGTATATGAGGCCTGGAAAAGACTTTGTTACTAAGAGTAACAATGTACCGGTTGCTTCATTTACCTTGAGAACACAACAGGGGGGGTTATTCGATTGACACATTGGAACACCCACTTCCAAATAAATCTCAGAATGATACTTTTATTAGTAAAACAGCGTTACAGAACTAGACAGGGTTTCTCAAATACCAAGATCATAATGAAAATATAAAACAAAATTCAATCGAAAATCAGATAATAGTGATAGAATCAAAAATACACCACACATGGACAAGATACTCTTAAGGCGTCCTCGGATTAAGGATACCTTAAGTAGTTATTCTCTAATAATAGTTACAAGCTTCGACATCATATTCCTCAGCCTTTCAGGCGTATTGATGACAGGATGATTGTGAGGATCTTTACTGACGTGAATCACTGTTCCACTGGTCACTAATGACGACCGGCATCGATCTTTCTTAGTTCCGAAATACTGGTAACACTTCCAAACGGTTTTGTTCACTTCCTTTCTGTAGATGCGATAGTCGTGGTTGTCCAATACTATTTTCGGATTTTTCAGTCCCTTGTCGAAGTAAACCAGTCCTGAAAAGGGGATTGGTTATTTGCTTGGAAAATGTATAGATTATATTTACCTGTTTACGATTCATTGAGGTATGTTTTTATTTAGAATACTAGCTTTTTGTCCCGCGGTTTTACCCGCAGAACTGTGTGTACTATTGGGCAACACACTACAAAATGCGTGACCTACCAATAATCTTCAAGGTCACACCTCATACGCTGCTGTAGAATGTCAGGCGGCCAGCACGTGAAAAGTACTCACTCTCCAGTTGACGAGAATGGCTAAGTACGTCTCTGCCCGAAATCATACCGCTCTAACAGAAAATGAAATCAGCTGATGCGCTACCGAGCAGACGCAGGCAAACAAGGAAGGCAAAATGTTGCGTAAAAAGTCTAGGTATTGCATCCCGTCCAATCGATTTGGGAGAATAAATGGTCCAACGAGCATACCGTTCACTATGCCAGCCCAAACATTCATCGAAAATGTTTGTTAAAAATGTGCTCGACGGACAGCGTGCGAAAGTTATGCACCCCATTGCGCGTGAACATAGATTCGTCTGTCACCAATATGCACTTCAAAAAGTCCCGATTATTGTCATGTTGATGCAACAACCACTCACAAAACCGCACTCTTGCTGGAAAATCGTCAGGTTGAAGGGCGTGTACAAGTTGCACGTGAAACGGATACAGCCCCTCTTCACGCAGCGTTTGCCACACTTTAGTTTTTGATACTTGCACTTCTCTAGCCACGTCTCTAGTGCTTGTTGAGAGATTCTTGTCTACGCGATTACCTCTACACGCGTGACCGTAACCGTCGGTTGAAGGTTGCATACTGACCTGACACACTGACCCCGACCCAGTTTTGTCGTCGGGTTGAGCTAGTGTCCTAGTACCACTCGGGGATGTCGCGGCTACAGGACGGTATTCAGATATTTTTGATGTTGCAGAGCCCTTTATCTCGGTTCCCTTAAGACATTGGTGTATATGGTACTAAGAAAAATTGCTTATGTTTTCAAGATCTACACGTCGTGTAAAGGAAAACCCCAACTTTGCGGACACCCTGTATACAGGGTGACTTGTAATGTCACGTATTCCTGTTAAGGGGTGATAGATTAGGTTAAAATCAACCGATTTTGTCCTATCATGTCTTATCCAAAAGTTAACCATTTTTGAGTTATTTGAATTTTAAGTTTTTTATTTTTTATTCCGATTTCAGACGGATAAAATTGAAATACAACAAAACTGCATGCTTGATTCTGAGTTTTTTGATATCGTCGCATAGCAGACATTCCAATAGTTCATAATAAGTAACAAAATGTTGAAAAGCTACAAATGTTTTAAAATTACGCTGTTTAAATGTATTTTTCTTTTTTTTCTACTAACTTATTCGATAAAAAATGCAATTTTCTGTAAAAAATCTCCTAGTAATGAAATGTGCAAAGTATGTAAATAATATCTCTATCTAACAAGCTTTCATTTGAGGTATTAAGCGTTCAATTATCTGAAGTACATGCAGAGAAACAACAATGACACCCACAGAGGCTGGATTTTTAAGGAATTTGTATTACCTGTTTGAACAAGTCGTTACTGTCCTGAAAGGACTCGCATGCTATGATTGTTTTATGGCATCGGCTCGACGAGGAAGCGAGCGAGAAGAGCTGACTTAGTGGAGGAGTGAGTGAGAGAGAGAGAGCTGTTATTATTCATCATTGTAGTTACGCCATCGCCGCACGCCGAGTGAGAATTAGGTTTACTTGGTATCAACTACTGCGTACGCGCACACGTTTTACGCACGATTATTATTTTCGAGTTTCCCAGTTCATTTCGAGCGGTTTCTTTATCATCATGGCAGGCGCAGAAGATCCGCCAGGACCTCGCGATAGCGAGCACGGGCAATCTTTTACAAATGAAGAATACGCAGACATAATGTTCTGTTATGGACTTTGTAACGGCGATTCTGCAGCTGCCCGCCGTGAATATCGGCAACGTTTCCCGAATCGCCGAACACCTCATGTTACTGTGTTTGACTCTGTGTATCGGCGCATCCGCCAAACCGGACGTGTTCAAAGGCAACATAGCGATGCTGGTCGACCCAGAGTCTATCCTGCTGAAGATGAAGAGGAAATCCTTCGTGTGTTTCAGGAAGACCCCACTACGTCTACGCGCATTGTGGCTGCTCAGTTGGGTATATCACAATACAAAGTATGGTTTACTGTGCATACTGCAAGATGATACCCTTATCACTACACGCAAGACGATTAGATTTTTACAGGTACATGTTACATGCAGATACAGAAGATCCAGACTATTTTAAGAAAATTCTGTGGACCGATGAATCGAAGTTTGATAAGGACAGGATCACTAACTACCATAATGCTCATTACTGGGCTGATAAAAAAGCTTTAAACCCCCGAAAAATAAGACCGACGTGGTCTCAGAGCCGGTTTTCAGTCAATGTGTGGATGGGCATCATTGATGGATATTGGACCTCATTTTCTGCCCGCCAATTTAAATGGAGAAGTGTATGAAGAGTTCTTGAAAAATCACTTGTTTCCATTAATGGAAGACGTCCCATTGGCGACGAGACAAAATATGTGGTTCCATCACGACGGCTGTCCCGCACACTACAGTAGATTAGTACGGGCGTATTTAGACTCTAAATTTCCAAATCAATGGATTGGCAGAGGCGGGCCTATTGCCTGGCCAGCAAGAAGCCCAGATCTCACACCGATGGATTACTATGTGTGGGGACATATGAAAAGCCTGGTGTACGATGTTTCACCCGTACCAACGCGCGATGAATTAATTACAAGGATAATCAGCCTTTTATTTATCCTACGTAATTATCGTTCGTACAACTACTACCGACTGACACTGACTGTATACAACAGAATGAAATAATTGTAAAAACATCGTTCCAAATTCTTTCGCTTTTTTGTTTCCGATGCGAAGAACCGATAAGGCGAATTATATCCGTTGTCGCCAAACACGAGCACATAATATTATTATTGAGACAGGGCGGTACTCAAACTTCCAAAGGGCTATAACTTTGTTACTTTAATTTTACCAGAAAAATGGTAAAGGAAAAAAACATTTCTTTTGATCAGTTGTATACAGTCAGTGTCGGTCGGTAACGCGTGAGTGAATAGTGGTGTCTGTTGCGTGGCTCAAACGAAATCAAAAATGGCACATGTTTATGCGGATCGGTTTCCCAATCGAGTGCAACCAACCCCTCGTGCCTTTGTTAATGTAGTACAAAGGGCTCGTGAATCAGGTGACTTAAGACCTCACAGGGGACGGCATGCCGGTGCTCCAAGACCGCACGATCAAATACAGGTCCGTACTGAAATACTTGTCGGGAGGATACTTTATAAAAGAAGGTAACATTTTTTTTTTATTTTTACACACATATTTTGGTTTATCTTCCTTCTACAATCATTATCTGAAAATTAATGACTCAACTTCAAAGTTGATATATATACGTGAGCTGTAATCATTGTCGTCTCAACGACCAGGTAGGTGAGAAAAACCTTCAGCTTCTATTGGGTCCTTCGACAAATTAGTGCAAAGTGTACTCTTGTAACTTTCAGAAGAAACGTACGCAAGATTGTTGCTGAATTTTATTAACTAAATTAACGAAAACACTTAGTAGCGTGATGAAAACTGTTCCCATAGTAGCAGTAGTTAACATTAATAAAATACACATAGCCATGTGTCAAAATCCAATATAACGGATTTAAAAACTTTGTTAATTTTTTTTATTTCTTACAGTAGTAAGAAATAAAAAAATTCGAATCAATCCAAAAGCCTAAAATATTCATCTATGTACTAAATTTCATCCAGATTAGTGGAGCAATTTTGGCGTAACTCATTTATGACATCAGTAGGGATATTTCCGATGACATCACAGATATTCTGGAAATTTTTCCAAAGGGGAAACTAAATTGTTTTAAGCAATTTATTCGTATAAGTTACAAACCACAACCAAAACTTACTTACCTTGGAAATCAGCCGCAGATTATTTTAATTGTCAATGAAATAACGTTGTATGTACTATGAAGACTATAATTTAAAAACAGTACATGGCGTTTACATTGTATAACCTCTAGAACAACACAATAACTTTTACTAATATATCAGATGGCCATGCCGGAAATCGGGTGAACTACTAGGGATATCACGCTGTCAGGACAAACAAAAAACAATACATACTAAGTGACATATCAATCCGAACACCCAGTTTAAATGGTTTTATTTTAATAAAAGTTGGTGAATGTATCTATCTTACTGCAAATAACAAGTGAAAAAATTTTCAGCCTTATCAGTTGGACATTCCGGTTTTTATACTGTTTTTTTTTAATTCAGTAACGCTCTAAAAATGAATATTTCAGCCGCAGTAAAGAATCAACGTTGGCGGATTTTGGTTCTTGACATCCTTTACGATCGGTTACGACGCCTAGAGTACGGAGACCTTTACGATTTCGTCAACTTAGTGAGTTTGATAGGGGCCGTATAGTGGGACTTCGGGAAGCTGGACTTTCTTTTCGGGCAATTGCAGTTAGAGTGCAAAGAAGGGTAGACACTGTGGTTAGGTGTTGTCAGGCATGGCTTCGAGAAGGCCGTACGCAAAGAGCAAGGGGCACTGGACGCCGCCGTAGAACAACAGACCGTGAAGATCGCCGCCTAAGATTATTGGCCTTTTTTTTTATTTTTTTTTTATTTGGCTTTAGGACCTAATCCATGCAGCCAGAAACTAGGTTGTTATATTTTACATTTCTAATTATGGACAAACACACGACGTCACAACATCCATGGCCAAGGCGAGATTCGAACTCGCGGCCCGGCCGACCGGCTGATCAGTAGCACGACACTCTGACCCACGCGGCCATCCGAGGTCCCATTTTTATTGGCCATTATTGGCCTTAAGGGACCGTTTCTCCACTACCAGGTCCATTGCAAATGAATGGTTTGCAGAACACGGAAGACCTATTGGCATGCGAAGTGTTTACCGACGAATGAGAAGTTTTGGCTTGTTTTCATACCGGCCACACTGGGTCCTCCCTTTAACTCGAGAACACCGACGTAATCGCCTTGAGTGGTGCAGACAACGGTCACTCTGGGATCAGGAATGGAATAGTATTGTCTTTAGTAACGAGTCTCGATTTTGTTTAGGCATGCACGATGGTCGTGCCAGGGTTAGAAGGCGACGTGGTGAAAGGAGGAATCCACAGTTTTTGTTGAAAGACATGTTCATCACACTGTTGGAGTTATGGTTTGGGGTGCTATAGGTTATGGTTCCAGGTCACCTTTAATCTTCATCAGAGGTAACATGAACGCGCAGCGTTATATCCACGAAGTTCTAGAACCCCATCTTTTACCCTATCTTGACACCCTGGCAGATCCAACTTTCCAACAAGATAATGCCCGACCACATGTTGCAAGAGTCACAATAGACTTCTTTCAACATAATGATGTCACATTGTTACCATGGCCACCAAGATCTCCCGACTTATCCCCAATTGAGCACGTGTGGGATATGATGGGTAGGAGATTGCTCAATTTGCAACGTCCTCCTCAGACTCTAGAAGCACTTCGAGAGGAGTTGGTGGTTGCCTGGAATGAGATACCACAGGAGGACATTGACCACCTGATCAGAAGCATGCTTAGGCGCGTTGGAGAATGCGTAGCACATCAGGGTGCATCCACACATTATTAAAGGTCAAAGGGCTTTAAAGCAGTGCAATCATTTTGAAATTTTCATCATTTTCTTATTATGCTTCATTAAATACTTATACAAAATTTTATTAAAATTAAACCATTTAAACAGGGTGTTCGGATTTATATGTCACTTAGTATATATAAGCTTTTTAAGTGATCTATCGAAATTTCCATGTAACCGGTAGGTTAGTTGAATTCACTTCATTAACAATGTTATTCAACAAAATATCCGTCAAAAATTATCTGCAAATTCCATTCTCACTCTCTGATAATAGTGACCTTTTGCGAGAGCATGTTCTTATACTTGTCCTTCTTCGGAACAGCCGGATGGTTGTGAGTGTCACTGCTGACTGTTACGATCCTCCCTGTGGTCACTAGAGTGGATTTGCACCTTTTCTCCCTAGTCCTGAAGTAATAACAACATTTCCAAACGGTTTTGTTGATTTCTTTTCTGTATATCAAATAGTCGTGGTCGTCGAGTACTATCTTCGGGTTTTTCGTCGCTACGTCGAAGTAGATTGTGCCTAAAAAAAAGTGGCGTCAGGCAGATTGAATCTATACTCCTCTATGATGCATATTAGTTTTGCAAATATGATAACTATACCTATTCACTGCTGCATTTTTGTAAAATGCTTTGAGTCCTGGATTTAAAAACGTGTCCTTAAATTGCGTCAAGAAAGCTGTTAAGTCTCAAATATGCTTGGATCCTTAGTTTAAATATGTTACTCTTGTCTTTGTTGTTAAGTTTTTTCTTGACTTCTCCACCATTTAAAGACGATTATCATCATTATTTTAAGTAAAAAAATAACTGAACTATTTCAATTAAAATATATTCACTCATCTACAAAAGGCAAAAACTTGACATTACATCAGATCCAAACGACAGCAGGGCTCTGTATCTTTCTCGGTTGTTGGTGTTTCTTTATCAAATGTTTCTTCAAATTTGAAATGGAGGTTCTGTAACTAAGTACGTTTCTGCATAGTCTGCATTTGGCTCTCGCTTCATCTATCATGATGAAATGCTCCCATAATGGAGAATGCCTTTTCTTGCCAGGCCCTAAAATAGATAATCAGGCGATGAAGCTGATGTTCGATGTCTTGGGAAGCGTGAAAAATGACGTAGTGCACCATTATCATCAAAACATAAATGTGTTAATTTGATAGGAAATATGTAATTACCAATTTGCTTCTGTACAAGTCACAATACTTTTCACCTTGGAAATATATCGAACGTAAAATTTGACGTTTAACGATGACCTTGAGTGAAAATCATTATAATATTGAGGGTGCTTGTCAAGGTCATCGTAAATAAACATTGTTTGACAAAAATGCAAGGATGTCTCTAAAGACAAAGCAAAAATAGGGTCTGGAATACAGCATTAGTTCTAATTTCGCTGGCTTTTTACTAGTGCCCTTGAAATTGACCTTGTCCATGACCTTGAGGAACAATTCAAGGTGTAGACCTCTTTTTGCAGATACCGGAAATGGATATAACGGAAATAAATAACTTTAAGACATGAATCTGATAAGGTCAAAGTGATGTTCAACCAAGGTCATATGTGAACTTTAAATCTTAAAAGATTCGATTTCAAAAAAAATTGTATTGCCCTTGATTCGACTTCCAGTTCCATGCTCAAAGTCAAATTCAAGGTCATCACAGCATATATAGGGAAATATCCTGAAACTTTACTGTTTTACGTCATTGTAGGTATTGTTCAATATTGTTTGCGATGGATTCAAATATACATGTATGTGCTCAACGTGTAAGCTTTAAGACTGAACTGCCTTTCACGAATGAATGCTAAATTCGCACACGTAGTTCTGCAAAAGCTCACCTCAGTGCAATAAGCATTTCATTTCGCCCCAAACAATAAAAACATGAAGGATCTTGAAAAACGATCTGCATGTACTCGCGAAGCCTCGGTAGCATTTCGAAGACACCGTAAATTAAAATAATGTATTGCAGTATGAATGTGCCATTTTTGTTTTGTTTTTTAGAACCGATGACCAAAGGTTTTGTTTACCAACGCGGGCAACGTTTGATCTGGGGCGATAGGTTTTGTTTAGTTTTGATTTATTTTGAGGAGCTTAAAATCATGAAAATCTTGAGACTTTGGTATATGTACGCCTTGTAAATGAAAGTCTCAACTTGGACAAAAGGGATTTCATGGAAAATGGTAACATTATACATGAAAATCGATAAAAAGTAGTTTTTTTATTGGGTAGAAAAAGTGGCAAGTAACACATGGCGCAGGGTGTTAATAATGTCCATGGAAAAAAATTCAATGGGGGAATTGCTTTGATTTCAAGATACAGAGAGTCAGAGTTTTCCGTTTTGTTATTCGTTTGTCAGAAAAATCGTAACAACCTTGTCAATCGAACAATGTTGTTAAAGATTTATGAAATATATCAGGAAAACGGATCTATCGCTAAATACTTAACAACCCATTAGCAGTATTTATCAAAATCGGCTGTTTTTACGAAAAAATGGAGTTTTGTCAAATGAAGATTGGCAACCTGTACCATAAAAGAGAAGCATTTTCGAACCCACCTTTATATCAACGTCTTTTCTTGAATTTGAATAATAAATCACCCCTTGGACTTTAGCCAGGTACTTTATTAACACCCCTGTATATGTATGTTCAAAAATCCCCCTATTTACAGAACATCCTGAAAAATCGATTAGGCTACTATTCTAAGTTTATTCCCATTTAACAAGTATAGACTTCTTCAATTCCACCACCGGCTTTCCAGTGGTTTTGCTGTTAGGATGCCTCCTGTTCAAATGTTTCTTCAAATTTGATGTAGTGGTTCTGTAGCTCAGCTCGTGGCCGCAAAGTTTACATTTCGCTTTGCTCGTCAAATCATCCAGTATCCTGAAGTACCTCCACAGAGGGGATCTTTTTTTGCCTGAAAGTGACAATGAACTAATTTTTCGAAGCAAAAACACTTGTCGAATGTCCTGAAAGGTGTTCGTTGTGCATCTAAAGCTCAGTATAGGGCCAGAAAAATCAATCTGGCTTACCTGATCCAATAAATTAGACAATTTTTTAACCTTGAAGGAGTTTAATTTAATGTGGTCGTGTAAACAAGCTATTACTCGATTTAAAATTTTTGGTTAAAAAGTTGTCCTCTTGACAAATCTTTTAGGATTCAAAAATTGAATAATATACAGGGTACAATGGGAAGTGCCACCATTTTGAAAACGTTTTAGGCGAATTCCACCCAATAATTATTATAGTATATCAAAATTTGCATAGCGTCAACTTTTTTTAGTGATCTATCGTGTCAATCTATACAGAGTTGACTCTACGTATTCAATTCAAAAACGATTACTCATCACATTCACACCTCGAACAAGTGTCCATGTAACCAGTAGGTTAGTCGAATTCACTTTATTAACAACGTAATTCAACAAAATGTTCGTCAAAAATTATCTGCAAGTTTCCTTCTCACTCTCTGATAATAGTGACCTTTTGCGAGAACATGTTCTTATACTTGTCCTTCTTCGGAACAGCCGGATGGTTGTGAGTGTCACTGCTGACTGTTACGATCCTCCCTGTGGTCACTAGAGTGGATTTGCACCTTTTCTCCCTAGTTCTGAAGTAATAACAACATTTCCAAACGGTTTGTTGATTTCTTTTCTCTATATCAAATAGTCGTGGTCGTCGAGTACTATCTTCGGGTTTTTCGTCGCTACGTCGAAGTAGATTGTGCCTACAAAAAAATGGCGTCAGGCAGATTGAATCTATACTCCTCCATGATACACATATTAGTTTTCCAAATATTATAGCTATACCTATTCACTGCTATACGTATATACTTCGAAGTTGAGTCATTTATTTTAACAGTGAGTAGACCTGATCAAAAGAAATGTTTTTTTCCTTTACCATTTTTCTGGTAAAATTAAAGTAACAAAGTTATAGCCCTTTGGAAGTTTGAGTACCGCCCTGTCTCAATAATAATATTATGTGCTCGTGTTTGGCGACAACGGATATAATCCGCCGTATCGGTTCATCGCATCGGAAACAAAAAAGCGAAAGAATTTGGAACGATGTTTTTACAATTATTTTATTCATTTGTATACAGTCAGTGTCAGTGAATAGTAGTGTCTGTTGCGTGGCTCAAACGAAATAAAAAATGGCACATGTTTATGCGGATCGGTTTCCCAATCGAGTGCAACCAACCCCTCGTGCCTTTGTTAATGTAGTACAACGGGCTCGTGAATCAGGTGACTTAAGACCACACAGGGGACTGCATGCCGGTGCTCCAAGACCTCACGATCAAATACAGGTCCGCACTGAAATACTTGTCGGGAGGATACTTTATAAAACAAGGTAAACATTTTTTTTTAATTTTTTTTTATTTTTACACACATATTTTGGTTTATCTTCCTTCTACAATCATTATCTGAAAATTAATGACTCAACTTCAAAGTCACCCTGTATATTCACTTAGAAAAGGCAAAAACTTTACATCACGTCAGATCCAAACGACAGCAGGGCTCTGTATCTTTCTCGGTTGTTGGTGTTTCTTTATCAAATGTTTCTTCAAATTTGAAATGGAGGTTCTGTAACTAAGTACGTTACTGCACAGTCTGCATTTGGCTCTTGCTTCATCTATCATGATGAAATGCTCCCATAATGGAGAATGCCTTTTCTTGCCTGTCCCTAAAATAGATAATCAGGCGATGAAGCTGATGTTCGATGTCTTGGGAAGTATGAAAACTGACGTAGTGCACTGTTATAAGCAAAACATAAATGTGTTAATTTGATAGGAAATATTTAATTACCAACTTACTTCTGTACAAGTCACAATGAAGACGATTTTTTTTTAAATAGGTCTCTGTAATCCCCCATAGCAAAAAAGTGAGCTTTTAAAATGCATTCATATTGAGCCTTTTTGAACATATTTGGGTGAACATTATTTTGATCATGAGGATCAAGGTTTTCGTAAAAAACGCCCGTTTGAAAAAAATTTAGGAATCATTCGGAGATAAAGTTAAAATGAGAACGGCAGAAAAAGTTTCAGTTTTTTTCTGGCTATCCAGTGATCAATTTCCAACTGCGCTTCACCATGATCTTGATATTCAAATCAATACCAAGAACTCCATATGATATTCTATACTTTTCACCCTTGAAATATATCGAGCGGAAAATTTGACGTTTAACGATGACCTTGAGTGAAAATTATAATATTGAGGGTGCTTGCCAAGGTCATCGTAAATAAACATTGACAAAAATGCAGGTATGTCTCTAAAGACAAAGCAAAAATAGGGACTGGAATACAGCATTAGTTCTAATTTCCCTGGCTTTTTACTAGTGCCCTTGAAATTGACCTTGTCCATGACCTTGAGGAACAATCCAAGGTGTAGACCTCTTTTTGCAGATACCGGAAATGGATATAACGGAAAAATTTAACTTTTAGCCATGAATCTGATAATAAATAAATAAGTGATGTTCGACCAAGGTCATATGTGAACTTTAAATCTTAAAAGATTCCATTTCAAAAAAAATTGTATTGCCCTTGATTCGACTTCCAGTTGCATGCTCAAAGTCAAATTCAAGGTCATCACAGCATATATAGGGAAATATCCTGAAACTTTACTGTTTTACGTCACTTGTAGGTATTGTTCAATGTTGTTTGCGATATATTCAAATATACATGTATGTGCTCAACGTGTAGGCTTTAAGAATGAACTGCTTTTCACGAATGAATGCTAAATTCGCATGCGTAGTTCTTCAAAAGTTCACCTCAGTTTTATAAGCATTTTATTTCGGGCCAAACAAAAAAATCACGAAGGACCTTGAAAAACGATCTGCATGTACTCGCGAAGCCTCGGTAGCATTTCGGAGACACCGTAAATTAAAATAATGTATTGCAGTGTGAGTGTGCCATTTTTGTTTTGTTTTTCAGAACCGATGACCAAAGGTCTTGTTTACCGACGCGGGCAACGTTTGATCTGGGGCGATAGGTTTTGTTTAGTTTCGATTTATTTTGAGGAGCTTAAAATCACGGAAATCTTGAGACTTTGGTATATGTACGCCTTGTAAATGAATGTCTCAACTTGGACAAAAGGGAGTTCATGGAAAATGGTAACATTATACATGAAAATCGATAAAAAATATTTTTTTTATTGGGTAGAAAAAGTGGCACGTAACACATGGCGCAGGGTGTTAATAATGTCTCTGGAAAAAAATTCAATGGGGGAATTGCTTTGATTTCAAGATACAGAGAGTCAGAGTTTTCCGTTTTTCAGAAAAATTGTAATAACCTTGTCAATCGAACAATGTTGTTGAAGATTTGTGGAATATATCAGGAAAACGGATCTATCGCTAAACACTTAAAAACACATTATCAGTATTTATCAAAATCGGCTGTTTTTACGAAAAAAATGGAGTTTTGTCAAATGAAGATTGTCAACCTGTACCATAAAAGAAAAGCATTTTCGAACCCACCTTCATATGAACTTCTTTTCTTAAATTTGAATAATAAATCACCCCTTGGACTTTAGCCAGGTACTTTATCAACACCCCCTGTATATGTATGTTCAAAAATCCCCCCTATTTACAGAAGATCCTGAAAAATAGATTAGGCATCTAAGCTACTATTCTAAGTTTATTCCCATTTAACAAGTATAGACTTCTTCAATTCCACCAACGGCTTTCCACTTGTTTTGCTGTTGTGATGCTTCCTGTTCAAATGTTTCTTCAAATTTGACGTATTGGTTCTGTAGCTCAGCTCGTGGCCGCAAAGGTTACACTTCGCTTTGCTCGTCAAATCATCCAGTATCCTGAAGTACTTCCACAGAGAAGATCTTTTTTTGCCTGAAAGTCACAATGAACTAATGTTTCGAAGCAAAAACGCTTGTCGTGACCTGAAAGATGTTCTTTGTGCATTTAAAGCACCGTATAGGGCCAGAAAAATCAATCTGGCTTACCTGATCCAATAAATTGGACAATTCTTTAACCTTGAAGGAGTTTAAGTTTAATATAGTCGTGTATTTTATATATTCTTGTACGTAAATAAAAATGAAGTTTGAAGGGTGCATATATTTTTTTTAGTTAAATAAAACCAGCAATTCAAACCGCTAGTACTCCAATACTTTTTTTTGCAATCGAATCTGGAGTATACACAATAGCCACAATGCAGAGTAATAATATACATAGCGACTTTTCTAAAATCTTTAACATGCCAGGATCGCTCTATTTCCTACAAAAAGCTTGACATGATAAATGTCAGTTCGAAGTTGACATAAAACGTGGCAGACAGGATTGCCATTTGTAAACAAATTGGGGACTGAATTCAGTAACGCATTTTCTCACGGAATTTGGTGTTTACAAAATTATGAACAAAATTCTGTATCGTGAAACACGACCTTATGTTTCTGTATGGACAATTCTTATACAAACTTTGTCCTAGGAAAATAAACTATAATTACTTCCTCTTTAAAAAGCATGTAATAAAAAACACTGTCCGTTCAACGAGAATATTTATTCTTAAACTTTACATCAACCTTCTACGGAAGCATCACATAATAATTATTCCTAAGCTTTCGCGTTTTGAAAATGACTCAAGGATGTAACGGGTGATTCATTTAGAGGTACTTTTTTGGTGTGGCGCATGCGTCATGACAACTAATTTGACATTTTTTGTGTCAGTATTGTTCGACATTTCATCATGGAAAGACTTAGTCCAGCACAGCGTCTGCAAATAATTCAGCTGTATTACGTTCTGCGAGAGAAGTGTGTTTCGTGCACTTCGAGAAACGAACGCACAATTCGCCGTACGGTCGAAAAATTTGAAACCCAATTTTCATTATTGGATAATACCCGACCAAATAGACCACATCCAGCACGCAGTGAAGAAAATATAGCTGCGGTAGCTGAGGACCGTGAAGAATCGATTCGGCGCCGTTCTCAACAGCTTGGCTTGTCGTATTCAACAACTTGGCGTATTTTACGTAAGAATCTTAATTTGAAACCGTACAAAATTCAACTCGTTCAAGAATTGAAGCCGGTCGGCCTTCCAAAGCGTCATCGTTTCAGTCTTCGGGCTCTTGCACGGCTTGAAGAAGATCCGATGTTTTCGAGCAAAATTTTGTTTAGCGATGAGGCCCATTTTTGGCTTAACGGCTACGTTAATAAACAAACCTGTCGTATTCGGGGTGAAGAGCAACCCGAAGTGGTTCAAGAGCTGCCATTACATCCAGCGAAAACAACGGTTTGGGGTGGTTTATGCGTCGGTGGAATCATCGGTCGCTATTTTTTTAAAAATGTGGCCGGTCAGAACGTAACTGTGAATGGTGCTCGTTACCGCGCCATGATAGCGGATTATTTGCTGCCTGAAATTGAAGCCCGTAATCTCGATGACATTTGATTCCACACAGCCCGTGCAACCATGGCTTTAGTGCGAGAACATTCCGATGAACACTTAATTTCACGATTTGGACCAGTGAATTGGCCACCTAGATCATGTGATATCACACCTCTAGACTTTGGGGCTACGTTAAGTCCAAAGTCTACATTGATAAGCCCAATACGATTGAGGAATTAGAAGCCAACATTACGCAGGTTATTCGCCAAATTCCAGTCGAAATGCTCCAACGTGTCATCGAAAATGGACCATCTCAACCGCAGTCAGGGTCAACATTTGAAAGAAATAGTTCTTTTCTTTAATAAAAAAGATTTGACAAGAAAAAAGAGTTTTGTTATTTTATTTTGTTGCTGAAAAAAGTACCCATAAATGAATCACCCATTATAAGGAAATCCCTTAACTGCTGCAACAATAGCAACGCCGACCCTGGTAAGAATAAGTGAATCAATTTCAATCTCTATTGCCACATAATGACTGCTGATTCCCTACTGTTTGATTTTTTGTTCACTCTGTAATACAGAGCGTGCGAGTGTTTTCTCTTCATATGCCTCTTTAGATTGGATACACTGGAACAGTTCAGCAGGACATTGCAAAGTTTGCATTTCGCTTTGTCTCTAAATCTGTCCAGTTTGTTAAAATAGCCCCACATAGCAGACCTCATCCTGCCTGAAAAAAATATTGAGACAGTTTATTTAGAAGATTAAGGTCCAAATGCTAAATCGTTGGGGTTTTCCTTTACACGACGTGTAGACCTTGAAAACAAGCAATTTTTCTTAGTACCATATACACCAATGTCTTAAGGGAACCGAGATAAAGGGCTCTGCAACATCAAAAATATCTGAATACCGTCCTGTAGTCGCGACCCGCGACATCCCCGAGTGGTACAAGGTCACTAGCTCAACCCGGCGACATTACTGGGTCGGAGTCAGTGTGTCAGGTCAGTATGCAACCTTCAACCGACGGTTACGGTCACGCATGTAGAGATAATTGCGTAGACGTGAATCCCTCAACAAGCACTAGAGACATTGCTAGAGAAGTGCAAATATCAAAAACTAAAGTGTGGCAAACGCTGCGTGAAGAGGGGCTGTATCCGTTTCACGTCCAACGTGTACAAGCACTTCAACCTGACGATTTTCCAGCAAGAGTGCGGTTTTGTGAGTGGTTGTTGCATCAACATGACAATAATCCGGACTTTTTGAAGTACATATTGGTGACAGACGAATCTACGTGCACGCGTAATGGGGTGAACAACGTTCGCAACACTCATGTTTGGTTAGTAGAAAATCCGCACGCTTTCGGTGAATGTTTGGGCTGGCATAGTGAACGGTATGCTCATTGGACCATTTATTCTCCCAAATCGATTGGACGGGATGCAATACCTAGACTTTTTACGCAACATTTTGCCTTCCTTGTTTGCCTGCGTCTGCTCGGTAGCGCATCAGCTGATTTCATTTTCTGTTGGAGTGGTATGATTTCGGGCAGAGACGTACTTAGCCCTTCTCGTCAACTGGAGAGTGAGTACTTTTTCCTTTATTTTTTTTTACTTGGTCGCCCTCGTTTCACTACACATTACCTTTGTTATTTCAAGGGTAGTTGTTTCTGGAAAGGAAAATCCCAACTTTGCGGACACCCTGTATTTTGCATAGCTTCCTGAATATGCAAAGAAAGTATTTATTGCGCAACGGAACAAGACAACTTTTCACTTTGCTTTTTTCAACAGCCTCTCTGGAGGGGTATTCTTGATACTTTTCGTCTAATTTTTTCATGCTTTGCATATAATACGAGCCCCTTCCCACTTCAGTTGGCTCAACTATTGAAATCTTAGTTTTTTTCTTATCAAACACAAATAATAAAAATGTATCAGGGTGTTATAGGTTTAAAATATTACCAATGAATATTTTGATAATATATAGTAGAAAACACCAACTTTATCTAAGGCGTTCAAAATGGGTAGAGAAAGGGTTATTAGTGAGAAAATTCGGTTAATGATAATTAAATTTTTTAATTCTGGGAAATCAAACTCAGAAATTGCAACTTTGTTAGACTCATCGCGGTACAGTGTGAGAAATATTGTTAGAAGATATAACGTAACTGGTTCAGTTAATATTAAGCCACGATATGTGAAAAAAAGTAATATCACAAATGGCGACCGAAGAGCATTAAAAAGAATAATCGTGAAAAAGATGGTGCAGCGTGCCATACCTCAAAAAAGGCTATAAAATGGATGGAAGAAAATAATGTACCAATTTTGAAATGGGTTTCTAGCAGTCCAGATCTGTCACCTATTGAAACTTTGTGGCACGAGATGAAAAAGGTTTTACGACAACATCCTGCTCGTACAATCACCGAACTGAGACAAAAGCTTTTGTATGCATTCTTACTTCAATCGTAACTTGTTAACAAATAATAGCAGAGCTCTAAAATTATATGTGAATATTCACTCAATCTACAAAAGGAACAACATGAGTAAATAAATATTGAATATAAACAGGCCCAATAGGAGGCATGTGTGTGCACGGATCAATAATTTAAGTAAAAATTCCAAAAAAGGCAAAAATTTGTCATGTACTCGTATTTACTTAATGTTCGTATTTATGAGTCCTAGAGATACAGGGTGTTTTCAAAGCTGATTCATTTATTTTAACTGGTAAAAAGCAGTTAATATACCTACAAATCATCTATATAAGAGTTGCATAATAAAAGAAATGGTAAATAATTAAAAATTTACAAAAATAAGAATGAGTCAGATTTTTTTATATTCTCGACCACTACTGTGTAAAACCTTTGCGTTTTTTTTTGCTCTACTCTTATCGTTTATCTAAATTTGGCAACCTCTTTTTGTTATTGTACGGTTTTCAGTACGAGTCTTTGGTTCGATCACTTGTGTCTTTTAATAGTGCGTATCAGGGGCGGCTGGCCCTTAAGTTCTGCAGAGCTGCAGAACGGCCGAAACTTTTGTCTTAACAGAAAAAAGCAGTAGTAATTTGATCATTATTTATTTTCCGTGTTATCAAACAAATAGAAACGATACCGGCAACGCTGCCCCCGCAAGACACTGCGTCGAGTCTGTTTCGTATCGAGAAAAAGCGTTATAATCGACCGATTGTGTACTTGTCATTTTCGTCGCGACCGCAGCGTAACATTATTCATGGTCCACTTGAAAAGGGTCCGTGCACTACTTCGATACAGGCCGCACGCGCTCGCTTTTGCCTCTCTACAAAATCAAATGCGCGATTTAAGCATAAGCGTTATACAGATCCGTACAGATCTACAGTATATTCAGATAAGAGATAGACCGGATGTAAACAAAAGGTTCGGGTGATTTTCACGCTAACGCCGCCGTCTCGACGTAAAACAGGAGCCCTCATTGGTCAATTCGCAATTAAATGCCTATGCCGAGCGGCAGAGCAGTCGTATCAAGGCAGAGTCACATTCAGGTTCAGACGTGTTACGTATGTCGTGTGCATCATTGCAATTTGATATTTCTTTGGACGTTTTCGTTTGTTATCTTATTAAGTTGTTGAGTTTGTCGTTGTTATTGTTATACCTTGTTATTGATTGTTATTGTTATCAACTGCTTGCGCAAAATGCCCAGTAGTACAGATACTGCCGATGAAGTTGTAAACTCCTGTAGTCCACCTAGGAAACGCTCTAAAAAAAGACACCTGAGTGCAGAAATGAAAGAGGTCATTTTGAATATATATAAGATCGAGCGCGAGGAGAACGAGGCATCAACCATCAAAGAAATTGTTGTGAAGGTTTCTCACAAAGTTGGGGTGTGTCGCGCATCAGTGTTTAATGTGTTAAGACAATACAAAAAAAATCACACCTTTTCTGAGCCAATGACCAGTAAACATCGCAAAAGTATTGTTAAATCATTGGATGAAGCTGATAAGCATGCGATTAGGAGGAAAGTGCATGAATTCTTCTTTAGGAATGAAATACCTACTATAGAAAAAGTACTGCAGGAGGTAAATGGAGATACAACGTTGCCAAATTTCAAACGATCAACTTTCCATGCGTTACTGAAGCATTTAAATTTCAAATGGAAAAAACGGGGTCGTAATAGTTTACTACTGGATAGAGAAGAAATTGTGCTATGGAGGAGGGATTATTTAACAAAAATTGGGAAATATAGAAATCAAAACAGGAAGATTTATTACCTTGATGAAACGTGGGTAAACGCAGGACACACTACAAGTAAAGTATGGGTTGATGATTCTGTAACTTCATCCAGGAGGGCCTTTCTAGATGGACTGTCCACCGGATTAAAAAATCCAGCAGGTAAATACGAGTAATAGACAACAATCGGATGTTTTTCAAACCTTGGGAACAAGGTTCTAAACATTAATTCCAGGGGGCAGATAAAACATGTTACAAGTAACAAAACTTTTATAACTTTCGATAAAATGCGTGGATGTTTTATTGTCATTTTCATTTGTTAGAACTTTTTTAAGCCATGTTTTTATGTGTTTTCGATATTTCAATAATTTTTTAATGTAATCTTAAAATATGTCGAATATTATAAACTTAAAAAAGTTACTAAGTTTTATATTGTGTACTGTTCCTAATATTTCTAATCATTTTAATTCATACTTTAAGCTTTATAAAGTTATAATTTGTTAATATTAATATTTGCGCGTATTTCAGGTTCCTGATCATTCATTTTTTAAAGGTTTATAACTTTAAATTAAATTGTGAAGCGCTGAGTAATCATACGACGTTCAATATTCTTTCTTTCAATATGACTAAATAATCGCAATTATAGCAATCTGACACTCATGTCTCAATGTTTTTTCGCTGAATGTGATGAAAACATTTCAAAAAGGTTCGCTTATTGAAATAAATCTACACCAGTTAGTACTTCGATTTCCAGGTAAAGGGAAAAGGCTCATTATCTGCCGTATTGGCAGTGAGGATGGATTTGTTGTTGACGGTCTGTGGTGCTTTGAGTCTAAGAAAACTGGAGATTACCACGAGGAAATGAATGGCGAATCGTTTGAACAGTGGTTTTCAAAAATTTTACCGAACTTAGAGGAAAACGCAGTAATTGTGTTGGATAATGCGCCTTATCATTCTCGAAGAATGGAGAAGGTCCCAACAACGGCTTCAAGAAAAGTTGATGTTCAAAATTGGCTCCGCTCGAAAAATATCAAATTTGAGGAAGCAATGCTGAAAGTACAATTATTAAGAATTGTCAAGGATCACAAGGCGGAATATCAGAAATACGCCATTGACGAAATGGCAGCAAGTCAAAATAAAACTGTGCTCCGTTTACCTCCATACCATTGCGAGCTCAATCCCATTGAGCTCATACGGGCAGAGGTTAAAAATTATATAGCTAAGCACAATACAACTTTTAAATTTTGTGACCTCAAAAGACTTTTCAAAGAAGCACTAGAATTAATAACAGCGCAAAAATGGGAAAACTGTATTAAGCACGTGAAAGACAAAGTTGAAAAGAGAATGTGGGAACTGAACAATATTTTGGAGGAACAAGTCGAGCCATTCATTATTGACGTTGGTGCTTCAGGCAGTAGCGATGATGAAAGCTCATCAAGCTCATCTTTCCAATAAAAGATGTCGTTCATCAAATTCGGTAAGTTATAAGTAATTATAAAGCTACTGTATTTTTTAATTAATTATTGACATTTTTGAACCCATTTTGGCAAAACCTATTCAAGAATCTACTTTCTGACAATGTTCAACCATGCACATTTTTTTACGTTTTGAACCTTTTAATTTGGTTACATATTTACCTAGAAATCAAAAAATATACTAATCAATATTCTAAAAGCAATTTTAAGAGATATACGATTATTTTTAATTTAGGCTAATTTAAACGCCATTTTGAGATTATATTCGACTGTATATCACCAAATATCAGGCGGCATCCGAAGCTGGAAATCGAAGCGAAAATTTTGAAACCCTTATGTATATTCACATCATTATATATGTATTTCTTACCCCACCCCCACATGATCCTATATCCATCACCAATCGTATACACATCGAATTGTGCTAATTTACTACAAAGTTACGCAAAGCAGCATCTACTATCTAAAATATGTACTGCGTGACTCTTAATACGTCCCTGCCGAATGTTACAGCGTTCGATGATCACGTGGTCTTGTTTATGTCCGGTCTATCTCTTATCTGAATATACTGTAATGCGGAGTACGATATCTGATTGGTCGGTCGGTGCTGGGTATAAAATTTTGCGCAGCATTTGTATTGGCGCTACGAAACCGAGAGCTTCAAAAACCCGGGAATATTTCGTGGACTGATTGATTTTTCTGCTGAGCTTGATACAACCTTAAGCGAACATAGTTTAAATACAGAGTTGTCTGTTATTTATCGTAAGTTCGGATTTGCAGAACACCTGTTTTATTTTGCCACTGGTGCGTATACTTTCATTTGTCTGATTATTTTCGATTTGAAACTGAAACAGTTCAACGCCAGAGAATGCCCTGACCTGTTTTCCTTAGTGTCAGGCTAAACGACTGAGTTGGATAATAGCCTGGTCAACTGGGTAACGTGACATCGATGAACTCGTTTCAATTTTATTAAACAATTAAAAAATAAAAAACCCAACGTCTATTTTTGTTTGTCTCATTGCGCTAGTGGTAAATTAGTTTAGCTGTTTCATTCTTTTTCATGAGATATTTTGGGTTTTTGTTAAAAAAGGGGTCATCAACAAAATATGTCACAGCAAAGATCGGAGGCCATTTGAAAAATAATCAAACGATTGTTTCGATTCCAAAAATCGGATAGCAGTATGCGCTACCACTATTCCCCCCTCCCATGTGGTAGTGTCAAATTTTTTTAAATAGGTAGAGCTTAAGACCTGTTCTTGCGGACTTTGATATCCCCCAGGCGCCCATGCTTCCTGGCTCCTAAAATTCGATAACTAAACTGTATCCATCGAAGAAACAAAGTAAAATCAAACATATACACCCGTATTGCACGTGATCAAGAACTTAACCGTAGGAGACGCTACAGGGCCGTATCAAGCTTGATGTCGGCCCAAATCAACTCGATAGGACTCAGTTCGCAGTGATAGGGAGGCAGCCTGAGAATCGTTTTATTTTGGTTTTTGGCCATTTCGTCAACAATTTTTAAATCATATTTATACTTATGTCGCTTGACTATATTTATCAGCTCAGCTTTGACCATTGTTTGGTCGAAGTCGATCTTCTTTGAGACAAGCCACTGTTGAATGTCTGCCTTTTTGGTGGCCACTGTTGGAATTTTTTCCAATTTTCTGGAGTGGTACAGGGCATTATCCATCACAATAATTGCGTTATCATCAAGTGTCGGCAAAATTTTTTTGAACCAATTTTCAAATGAGTTACCATCCATTTCTTCGTGATAGTCTCCAGTTTTTTTGGATTCAAATGCCCACAATGCTTCAGGAACAAATCCATCTACGCTACCTATGTGGCAAATGATCAGGCGTTTTCCCTTGCCTGAAAGTAATTAGTTATTTTACTTCTCAGCGAGCGCACTAAATGACGAAATTAAGCAACTCACTCTTTTTAGGTTAGTGTAGGATAGGGTCTTAGATTAGTTTTTGGGTGAAGGAAATACTCAGAAACTTGGATGAGATAGCATGAGTACGGAGCTTCCAAATCATTGATTCGATCAGAAAATGAATTATCTGCATCCAAAAAAGTTCATATACTTCGAAACTTACCTGCAGGATTTTTCAATCCCGTCGAAAGGCCATCTAAAAAAGCCTGCCTTGAGGACCTCACAGATCTGTCTACCCAAACCTTTCCCTGCGTATGCCCCGCGTTCACCCATGTTTCGTCTAAATAATAAATTTTTCTTCCTTCAGCGCGGAATTGCCTAATTTTTCTAAGGTATTCTCTCCTCCAGATAACAATTTCCTCCTTTTCTATCAATAAACTATTCCTTCCTCTTTTCAAAAATCGAAAGTCTAGTTCTTTCAACAGCTTATGGAACGTAGATCTTTTAAAATTTGGCAGGTCCTCATCATCATTCATTTGCTTCAATATTTTATCTATTGTAGGTATTTCATTCCTGAAGAAAAAGTGATGTACTTTTCTTCTAATGGCACTTTTGTCAAAGTCATCTATTTTTTCGATGATTTTTTTTCTCGCTGGATATGTTTTTGGCTCAGATAGTGAGTGATTTAGTCTATATTCCTTCAAGATTTTGTAAACACTTGATCGTCCTACTCCAGAAATTTCAGCAACCTTACATACGATATTTTCTATAGCTAATCCACTATTCTCTTGCATCTGGTTCTTGTAGATATTTAGAATAATTTGTTTTTCACCTGCGCTAAGATGAAGCTTTTTAGCCCTTTTGCTGGGTGGCGTTAAGCTGATTTCAACCACTTCATCAGCTGTATCTGTGTCAGACATTTTAGACTAATATTAAATTTCCGCAAGAAAAATCAAGTCAAGACGTGCATAAAACGTTCGCGCTCATAAATGGGTATCCGTAACTGATTACAATCCTGTGCGTGGTGACGAACCATCAACGTGACGCTGAGAGTTCCCTCTACTATGCAGCGTTGCCAGGCTTAATGTCACAATGATCATGTTTTATTGGGAAAATTGTCAGAAATCGCCGAATGTTGAACAGAAACATTACAAGAAGTCTAACCTTGAAATGTGAGGCTACAAATCGATATTCTTATAGGGGAGAAGGGTAGGGAGCTGTTATGGTTCCTATTAACCTTGGTGAAAGTTGAAAACGGTAATATCATATATGACATACATTCGGTTGAAGGTGTGTGCACGGAAAATAGATTGCGGATAGGATTTTAATAGATAAATCTGCACAAAAAAACACAAAAGGAGATTTTTGTATTTCCCTGAAGAATATCTCAAGGTTATTTCAGATGTACTCATCGAAACTTTATGGCAGGATTATCGAAACCTTATTTTCAATTGCGATAGGGCCACATACCTCGACATTGCATTAATGTGAAAAATAAGACAATAGAAAAAAAATCCCTCACTGATGCTATCTCTTAGGAAAAATTTAACTATAAAGATTGCACAAAAATTTTCTTCGCCTTTTTGAGCTTGTTTTCGCATCTCCGTATATGCCGTTCATAATTTGCTGCAGATCAAATTGGAATATACCTTTGTGATGCCATTTATTGTTATATAATGTCCTTTACAACAGTTATTGCACGTATTGCACCAACAGATTGATTTGTGATCCATGCGAATGTGATCAACCACTCTGGCGAAAACTCGCCGAGCGTGGCAACCGTGCGACTTTGTCTGGAGGCTCGTCGCTACAAGCCAATCAGGAAGAGGCCGACAGAGCGCCATGGCTACCGATCACGTGTTGATCACGAATCAACCACTGTTTACGATTACTTTGTAGCTTCGTTAGATACGCTTTAGTCCTGCAATAAATGTGGTTTCAGCAGGACAGAGCAACGTGTCACATAGCCAGAGAAACGATGAATGTTTTATGGAGTTTCATCAAGCCCCAGGATCCGAGCCTTCTTTCTTATCTTATTTCTAAGAAACGAGAATAAAAAACCCAAATGTCCTTTTAAAAATAATATTTATTGTTGCAGATTACATTAGCCTTTCAAAGAAAAAAAATATTTTTAAAATTTCTCAACGGGCCAAAATAAAACCCCTAACTTCCTGTGACCGGTTTCAGTTTTCATTGCCACACGATAACGGCTTGCGTTTGGCCACTTTCCGATTTTCTGTTTACTTGTTTAGGCAGAACACTGGAGTGTTTTCTGTTCATATGCTTCTTCAGATTAGTTACAGTGGAACATTCCAGCACGGCATTGCAAAGTTTACATTTCGCTTTGTGTCTAAAGTTGCAAAGTTTTATGAAGTAGTTCCACGTAGCCGACCTCAGCCTACCTAAAAATAATGGTTATGATAATATTAAATCGGTTTTATTAAATACAAAAAAAAAAACAGGTAAGTTACAAATATAAGACAGAGTTCTTCTCCATGATGGCTCTGCCAGACTGACCCGCTTGACATCGGCCTCCTATCGTAACCGTATCGAAGTTCGTAGATCTAGTACTGGCCGATACGACCACTCCTTTGTCCCTGGGGTATCTAGTCTGAGGAGGATTTCACTAGTTCTACCAACTTTAGGCAGAAATCAGACTAATAGAGTGTCTTTAAGCTGTATAGCAGACTCGGTGCCCTGGTGTCTGGGCTGCTTCAGTATAAAAAAAAGTTGTTTCAATGAAGTCTTAAGCGAAAGCGTCTTCTTCTAGCATTTTCATCCTGCTTCAACATATTGAACACAGATGATCTCTGGGTGCGGCGTTTATAAGCCAGGAAAGTTGGATTTAAATTAATAGCAATACAAATAATATTAAACATTTCTATTTTATTGTTACTAATAGGGGAGATCCGAGCAAAGTGAATATCACTCATTTATTACATAAAAAAAGTCAACATAAATCATCATCAAAACATTTTTTATCTGATACCAAATTCGCGATTTCATGAGAACATTTTCTCAGGATTGGAGAATTGCGTCCCAAGGATCAATTTTTGGCGTTCCAGCCCAAACAACAACGGTATCATCATTTTCTAAAAATACTTCCTTCACTATTTTGGATCTTCTTTTACATCTGATAAAAAATTCGCGATTCTTGACAAAATCTCCCGATTATCTTTACCTTATGGAATTGACATACTCGTCGAATATGCATTGAGATATTTTCCTATAGGAAGATAGGTCAGATTTGACAACTTGCTGAATGATTACTTATCATGGTGACACTGGTGAACTAACCTAGTTTGCTGTGAGTAAATTTTCTCAGGATTGCAGAATTTTGTGCCACGGTCAATTTTTGACGTTTAGGCCTCAAAGAACAATGGTGGAATCCTTTTCTAAGAATACTTCCTTCACTATTTTGGACCTTCTTTTACATCTGATAACAAATTCGCGATTATTGACAAAATTTCCCGATTATCTTTTTCTTATGAGACTGCTGAATGATTACTTATCATGGTGACACTGGTGAACTAACCTAGTTTGCTATGAGTAAATTTTCTCAGGATTGCAGAATTTTGTGCCACGGTCAATTTTTGACGTTGAGGCCCAAAGAACAATAGTGGAGTCCTTTTCTAAAAATACTTCCTTCACTATTTTGGATCTTCTTTTACATCTGATGAAATTCGCGATTCTTGACAAAATTTCTCAACTATCTTTTCCTTATGGAATTGACATACTCGTCGAATATGCATTGAAATATTTTCCTATAGGAAGATACGTCAGATTTGACAACTTGCTGAATGATTACTTATCATGGTGACAATGGTAAACTAACCTAGCTTGCTGTGAGTAAATTTTCTCAGGATTGCTGAATTTTTGACGTTTAGGCCCAAAGAACAATAGTGGAATCGTGTTCTAAAAATAATTCCTTCACTATTTTGGATTTTCTTTTTCATCTGATTAAATTCGCGATTTTTGACAAAATTTCTCAACTATCTTTTCCTTATGGAATTGACATACTCGTCGAATATGCATTGAAATATTTTCCTATAGGAAGATACGTCAGATTTGACAATTTGCTGAATGATTACTTATCTTGGTGACAATGGTGAACTAACCTAGCTTGCTGTGAGTAAATTTTCCCAGGATTGCAGAATTTTTTGCCACGGTCAATTTTTGACGTTTAGGCCCAAAGAACAATAGTGGAACCCTTTTCTAAAAATACTTCATTCACTATTTTGGATCTTCTTTTACATCTGAAGCGAAATTCGCGATTCTTGACAAAATTTCCCAACTATCTTTTCCTTATGGAATTGACATACTCGTCGAATCTGCATTGAGATATTTTCCTATAGGAAGATACGTCAGATTTGACAATTTGCTGAATGATTACTTATCTTGGTGACAATGGTGAACTAACCTAGCTTGCTGTGAGTAAATTTTCTCAGGATTGCTGAATTTTTGACGTTTAGGCCCAAAGAACAATAGTGGAATCGTGTTCTAAAAATAATTCCTTCACTATTTTGGATTTTCTTTTTCATCTGATTAAATTCGCGATTTTTGACAAAATTTCTCAACTATCTTTTCCTTATGGAATTGACATACTCGTCGAATATGCATTGAAATATTTTCCTATAGGAAGATACGTCAGATTTGACAATTTGCTGAATGATTACTTATCTTGGTGACAATGGTGAACTAACCTAGCTTGCTGTGAGTAAATTTTCCCAGGATTGCAGAATTTTTTGCCACGGTCAATTTTTGACGTTTAGGCCCAAAGAACAATAGTGGAACCCTTTTCTAAAAATACTTCATTCACTATTTTGGATCTTCTTTTACATCTGAAGCGAAATTCGCGATTCTTGACAAAATTTCCCAACTATCTTTTCCTTATGGAATTGACATACTCGTCGAATCTGCATTGAGATATTTTCCTATAGGAAGATACGTCAGATTTGACAACTTGCTGAATGATTACTTATCATGGTGACACTGGTGAACTAACCTAGTTTGCTGTGAGTAAATTTTCTCAGGATTGCAGAATTTTGTGCCACAGTCAATTTTTGACGTTTAGGCCCAAAGAACAATAGTGGAATCCTTTTCTAAAAATACTTCCTTCACTATTTTGGATCTTCTTTTACATCTGATGCGGAATTTTCCAATTATATGTTCCTTATGGGACTGACATATTGACGATGACGAACTACCCTACCTTCACATAAAAAATGTTCTCGTTATTTTAGAATTTTGTGACAGGGATCAATTTTAACGTTTAAGCCCAAACGACAACAGCACAATCATCATCATTTTCCGAAAATGCTTCCTTCAGTAACTTGTAGGATGTCTCCTGGACAAATGGCTCTTCAAGTTGCTTATAGTAGATTTGTAGCTCAACTTTTGACCGCATAGTCCGCATTTTGCACGGCAGGCACGTTTGTCCAATATTTCAAAGTACTTCCATAAAATAGATCGTCTTCGACCTAAAAATAATAATTAGCTAGTTTTTGCAGGTTAACATTGGCAGCCCGACCGTCTCGTTAACCCATACAGGGTGTTTCACAAGTCGTGACCAAAAATGAAACACGATACACAGGGCCGCATTTTATGTAACATTTTTTTTTCGCGAGGGCGCCATTAAAAAGATACGGGGTGTTGCAGTTTAAAAATAAACAATTTTTTTAATATCCTCAAAACCGTCAAAATTTGGTATGTAAAACAGTGGCGTATAATTTTTATTTGGAAAAATAATGCTACTAATCCCCTGTATCTCCGCCACTTGTGCACGTTAATGTTAAGTAAATACTTTTGAATGTGGACAATACTTAAGTTCACATACCAAATTTTACTTCATTCCAGTTGACGGAATTGTTTTTTATTTTTAAACTTCAACACCCCGTAACACAGAAGACCCCCCTTAAAATGCGGTCCTGTGTATGATATTTTATTTTTGGTCACGACATGTGGATCAACCTGTATATTGAAACAGTTTTCAAATTTGCACTAGTACAAAAAAAAAACAGATTTTAAATCACTTTTCCAGCTTTCTGATAAAACTACTTTCCATTTTCGTTGGGACACCCTGTATTTTTGCGGCGCACCATGTCAGCAAACCGCAAAAGTGCTTAGACTCGAGTTTAACTCCGTGATAAATTAGAAAAGGACATTTTTTAAGCTTACGTTCTGATCAAGGTTAGATCACATACACTGATTGACGATTCCTAATGAGAAATATCTGATTATAAATTCATTATACCAAGGAAAAAAATGTGTGTCAAGGATAACGTTTTTCTTTATTACAGCATGCTTTTCTAGCAAAAAAATAAACAGATATCTCTTGTTGTATTCAAGTACGTGATTGAATTTCGCGAATATCAAGAAAGATGCATTCCCGAATATTCGTTACATCGCTAGTAGGGAGGGAAAACAAACGAATATAGCAAAACAAAAATATATATTATATACAGAAAATATTCTTCATGCTCAATCCCAAAACGGGTCGAGATCCGGGTGTTTTGCGATGAAATGCCTCTTCAAATTGGCTGAGGTAGATTTAAAGCTCAAACTTCGATAACAGAGTTTGCATTCCGCCAGGCCCGAAACACTATCCATAATTCTGAAAAAGTCCACACCGCGGAACGTTTCCTACCTGAAAATTATATTAAGCTGTAAGAGTTTTTAGTGACATCATCACTAATACGTTATGGCGGTGGTGAACAGCATCGAGTTTGGATAATGCAGCCACGATGGGCAAAATTGGAAATTGGAAAAACGTGCCAAATTACCTCAAAACCTGAAAAAGTCCATAAAAAATCTCTTAATATACTTCGTTCTTCCAATGTCAGCTTATAATTCCTTCATCAAACATAATTGAGAAGTGAACAGTTAGAACTTTTGTACCTAAACTGTATCCATCGAAGAAACAAAGTAAAATCAAACATATACACCCGTATTGCACGTGATCAAGAACTTAACCGTAGGAGACGCTACAGGGCCGTATTAAGCTATTGTGACTGATCTATCAAAAAATGTCGTACAAGATATGTGTTGCTGTAAATTCTATCAAAAGCATAGTAAATTATCAGGAATATACCACGCCTTTCTAATCATATTTCGACATTAGGAATCAGTGCAAAAAATTCTGTATTCACCATTTCAGCAAAATGTGACTAAAACGCACACGAAAAAAACTTGTGGACCATCTCAATTGAAATTGTTCATATTTTATTATTAACTTACATATATACCCAATAATATTTACAAATCAACCTTCTATTTACAATGCAGAGCAAATTTTTTTGAGCAAATAGAAACTACAGACGTAGTAGTAGTAGTACAAAAGTTTATTGCAGACTCCATAAAGTTTGTTAGTTTGATTGCTATTAAAATTTACATGAGAAATAGGAAGAAGGTCAAAATGACACTATTATGCTTTGGAACTCCTAAATTAACCCTAATTTTGTGTAATTATAAATTTGGAATTTCCACATTAATAACTAGAAACTTACACTTTGATTGCAGTCTATAATGAACATACCTGTCTTGCCAAAAAGCCCGTTAAACTGCCAGTCTTAATGGTATCAATCGATTTATATGCTGTATTCCGAGGAGCTTGAATCATCAGAATTGTTGATGTCAATTATAAGGGGTTCAACTTGGGTGTCAATGATATTGTCCATATCCCACATTTTGGTTTCAACCTTCTCTTGGACATGGTCAATACATGTTCTCCATTTTGCTGGCGTAATTCTATCGACAGCAACATCAAACAGTTTTTTAAGGTCAGAAAACTTAAAAGTGCTGTTATTTGACGCCACGTATTGCTTGATGTCGGCCCAAATCAACTCGATAGGATTCAGTTCGCAGTGATAGGGAGGCAGCCTGAGAATCGTTTTATTTTGGTTTTTGGCCATTTCGTCAACAATTTTTAAATCATATTTATACTTATGTCGCTTGACTATATTTATCAGCTCAGCTTGTTTGGTCGAAGTCGATCTTCTTTGAGACAAACCAATGTTGAATGTCTGCCTTTTTGGTGGCCATTGTGGAATTTTTTCCAATTTTCTGGAGTGGTACGGGGCATTATCCATCACAATAATTGCGTTATCATCAAGTGTCGGCAAAAATTTTTTGAACCAATTTTCAAATGAGTTACCATCCATTTCTTCGTGATAGTCTCCAGTTTTTTTGGATTCAAATGCCCACGATGCTTCAGGAACAAATCCATCTACGCTACCTATGTGGCAAATGATCAGGCGTTTTCCCTTGCCTGAAAGTAGTTAGTTATTTTACTTCTCAGCGAGCGCACTAAATGACGAAATTAAGCAACTTACTCTTTTTAGGTTAGTGTAGGATAGGGTCTTAGATTAGTTTTTGGGTGAAGGAAATACTCAGAAACTTGGATGAGATAGCAAAACTGAGTTCGGAGCTTCCAAATCATTGATTAGACCAGAAAATAAATTATCTGCATCCAAAAAAGTTCATATACTTCGAAACTTACCTGCAGGATTTTTCAATCCCGTCGAAAGGCCATCTAAAAAAGCCTGCCTTGAGGACCTCACAGATCTGTCTACCCAAACCTTTCCCTGCGTATGCCCCGCGTTCACCCATGTTTCGTCTAAATAATAAATTTTTCTTCCTTCAGCGCGGAATTGCCTAATTTTTCTAAGGTATTCTCTCCTCCAGATAACAATTTCCTCCTTTTCTATCAATAAACTATTCCTTCCTCTTTTCAAAAATCGAAAGTCTAGTTCTTTCAACAGCTTATGGAACGTAGATCTTTTAAAATTTGGCAGGTCCTCATCATCATTCACTTGCTTCAATATTTTATCTATTGTAGGTATTTCATTCCTGAAGAAAAAGTGATGTACTTTTCTTCTAATGGCACTTTTGTCAAAGTCATCTATTTTTTCGATGATTTTTTTTCTCGCTGGATATGTTTTTGGCTCAGATGTGAGTGATTTTGTCTATATTCCTTCAAGATTTTGTAAACACTTGATCGACCTACTCCAGAAATTTCAGCAACCTTACATACGATATTTTCTATAGCCAATCCACTATTCTCTTGCATCTGGTTCTTGTAGATATTTAGAATAATTTGTTTTTCACCTGCGCTAAGATGAAGCTTTTTAGCCCTTTTTCTGGGTGACGTTAAGCTGATTTCAACCACTTCTTCAGCTGTATCTGTGTCAGACATTTTAGACTAATATTAAATTTCCGCAAGAAAAATCAAGTCAAGACGTGCATAAAACGTTCGCGCTCATAAACGGGTATCCGTAACTGATTACAATCCTGTGCGTGGTGACGAACCATCAACGTGACGCTGAGAGTTCCCTCTACTATGCAGCGTTGCCAGGCTTAATGTCACAATGATCATGTTTTATTGGGAAAATTGTCAGAAATCGCCGAATGTTGAACAGAAACATTACAAGAAGTCTAACCTTGAAATGTGAGGCTACAAATCGATATTCTTATAGGGGGGAAGGGTAGGGAGCTGTTATGGTTCCTATTAACCTTGGTGAAAGTTGGAAACGGTAATATCATATATGGCATACATTCGGTTGAAGGTGTGTGCACGGAAAATAGATTGCGGATAGGATTTTAATAGATAAATCTGCACAAAAAAACACAAAAGGAGATTTTTGTATTTCCCTGAAGAATATCTCAAGGTTATTTCAGATGTACTCATCGAAACTTTATGGAAGGATTATCGAAACCTTATTTTCAATTGCGATAGGGCCACATACCTCGACATCGCATTAATGTGAAAAATAAGACAATAGAAAAAAAATCCCTCACTGATGCTATCTCTTAGGAAAAATTTAACTATAAAGATTGCACAAAAATTTTCTTTACCTTTTTGAGCTTGTTTTCGCATCTCCGTATATGCCGTTCATAATTTGCTGCAGATCAAATTGGAATATAC